TGAGTTTGGATTTTGACATGTTTCATTTGGGTGTGCCACTGGTACCTCAAAAAGAAGATGGGCCACAGGGATTCAGGGGCAAAGTCAAGGCCCTGGAAGTGGGTTTGGGAATCAAGTGCTGTCTGAAGATATCATAATGGGAAAGGCTGTTCAGCCAGAAGAGAAGAGGAAGCAGGACGAAGGCGTAAGGGGTGCTTCCGCATCTGGTTTATGATACACATGACCTTTTGTGATTAAGTTCCTATGTCTTCAGAATTTAAAAATGTGTGTTATTCAGCATCTGTGGATACAATGGGACAACAGACTCCATGAAGCAGACAACACTGACTAATCTTATATTTGCAGAACAACTTTATGAATTGCTGGCTTGAGAAACTGGATGTTCTCTGTCAATAAGCCAAAACTGCAGCAGATGCAACAGAGACTGGCAGAAATAAATGCCAGGAATACTGATAAATCACTTACAGACCTGAAGTGTCCCACAGAATGAATATATTCATTCCAGGTGAATATCTGGGTTTTAGGAGACCTGATATCTTTTTCACTTTAGTGGACCCTCTTTAAGAAAATGATTACATGACATCAAAAGCAAAGGTAACGAAAGCAAAAATAAACAAGTGGGACTACATGAAATTAAAATGCTTCTGCACAGCAAAGGAAATTGTCAACAAAATTAAAAGGCAACCTACAGAATGGGAGAAATTTTGCAAACAACACATACAATAAGGGGTATTTAAATATTTGCCAATCACATATCTAATAAGGGGTTAATATCCAAAATATACAAGGAACTCATCTAACGCAATAGCAAAAATAAATAACATAATTTAAACATAGAAGAAGGGCCTGAATAGACATTTTCCCAAAGACATACAAATGGCCAACATGTACATGAAAAGGTGCTCAGTATCACTAATCATCAGGGAAAAGCAAATCAAAACCACAATGAGATATTACCTCACACCTAACCTAGGATGGTTATCAAAAAGACAAGAGATAGCAAATCCTGGCAAGGCTGTGGGAAAAAAAGGATCCTTGTACACTGATGCTGGGAATGTAAACTGGTACAGCAACTATGGGAAATAGTATGAAGATACCCCAAGAAATTAAACATAGAACTACAATATGATCCAACAATCCCACCTTATGGGTATACAAAGGAAACAAAACCATTATGTCAGAGAGACACCTATACTCCCATGTCCACTGCAGCCTTTAGCCACAATTGCCAAGGTATGGAAACTACCTGAGTGTCCACTGGCGAATGAATAAAGAAAATGTCACACAAATACACACACACACACACACACACACAGAGGAATATTACTGTCTTAAAAAGAAGAAAATCTTGCCATTTGTTACAACATGGATGAATCTGTAGAGTGTCATGCTAAGTGAAGTAAGCCAGAGAAAGGTAAATGCTGTATGGTATATTCTTCTGTCAACATCCTAGTGAAAGTTCTTTCTGCTAGGCTATTACAGTAACCTGACTGGCCACCATGGCTCCATACCCACATATCCTTTCCCTTGCCACTGGAATTTCTCACATAAATCTGATGGTCTCACTCACTACCTTGCTTAAATGTTTTCATTGGTTACCCACTGCCTAAATAGTAAAGCTCAAATGTTTCTGTGTGGCTATCCTCTTTTTCCCTTCCCTTCTTCAAAATTCCTTCTTCCCCAAACGTGGAATTCCCTATTTGATCTTTTCTTGGCTATTGGCCTTGGACTGGGCACCTGACTCTATCCAGGCCATCCTAGAAATTTTGATCTGGGACTGATAATCAGTCAATTTCTCTTTGGATGCCTGCAACAAGCAAAAGTTCAGAAACAGTCAGTGGTCATGTTTTCTGCCAACTGAACCAGAAAAGTGGAAGTGAAGTAAGCTAGAAAGAGAAAGAAAAATACCACATGATATCACTTGCATGTGGAATCTAAAAAAAAAAAACAACAACAACAACAACAACAAAGACAAACTTATTTATAAAACAGGAACAGACTCACAGACATACAAAACAAACTTATGGTTACCAGTGGAAAAGGGGGTGGGAAGGGATAAATTGGGAGTTCAAGATTTGCAGATACTAGCTACTATATATAAAATAGATAAACAAGTTCATACTGTATAGTACAGGGAACTATATTCTTATAGTAACTTATGGTGAAAAAGAATATGAAAACGAATATATGTATGTTCAGGTATGACTGAAGCATTGTGCTGTACACCAGAAATTGACACATTGTAAACTGACTATACTTTAATTAAAATATATATATATATATATATATATGGAGAAGTTCAGTTACAAAAGAGAGAAAATGAAGGTGTGCAGCAAAGCTGAGCCCAAAAGTAGGACACTGAGTGCTCAATCCCAGCTCTCCTTTGGGTCCAGCTGCATCCTTCTCCTAGAGTCTCACGTTGCACAAGTCAGATTTTTGGCAATAAATTCCCCTGTAGGTGCATTTGAACTGAGTTTCTGACACTTGCACCCAAGTGAGTCCTAATTCCACTGCCTATGGCAACTTGGTGGTTCAACTACAACCCGCCTTGCGAGCTTCATTTCCCAGGTTCTGACCACCCCTTCATTTCACTGCACACTCCTCCTCTGCATCAGAGCCACAAGATCACACCATTCTCTGTGCTCACTGTCCTTTGTATTTGTCTCTTTAATTACATTAACCACATTATATTACAGAATTCCCATTTGTTAATATATTATTTTATAATGACAAATGCTTGATAAATCAGGTTATTTCAACAGACGAAGTGAATTAGTATTTGCCCCCAAAAGACTTGTCCAAATTACTGTCTTATTATCCAATTTAAAAAAGCAGTCTTTCCTTCAGACAATACTACAGAGCTACAGTAATCAAAACAGCATGGTATTGGCATAAAAACAGACATATGGATCAATGGAATGGAATAGAGAGCCCAGAAATAAACCCACACAACTATGGTCAATTAATCTTCGACAAAGGAAGCAAGAATATACAATGGAGAAAATTCAGTCTCTTCAGCAAATGGTGATGGGAAAACTGGATAGCAACATGTAAACAAATGAAGTTAGAACATTCTCTCACACCATACACAAAAACAAACTCAAAATGGCTTAAAGATGTAAATATAAGACAAGATACCATAAATCTCCTAGAAGAAAACATAGGCAAAACATTCTCTGACATAAATCTCAGCAATGTTCTCCTAGGACAGTCTACCCAGGCAACAGAAATAAAAGCAAAAATTAACAAATGGGACCTAATTAAACTTATAAGCATTTGCACAGCAAAAGGAAATCATAAGCAAAACAAAAACACAATCTATGGAATGGGAGAAAATATTTGGAAATGATGTGACTGACAAAGGCTTGATTTCCAGAATCTATAAACAGCTCATAGAACTTAGTAACAACAATAACAACAAAACCCAATCCAAAAATGGGCAGAAGACCTAAACAAGCAATTATGCAATGAAGACATACAAATGGCTAATAGGTACACGAAAAAATGCTCAATATTACCAATTATCAGAGAAATGCAAATCAAAACTACAGTGAAGTTATCACCTCACATCAGTCAGAAGGGCCATCATTCAATAGTCCACAAATGATAAATGCTGGAGAGGGTATGGAGAAAAGGGAACCCTCGTACACTGCTGGTGGGCATGTAGTTTGGTGCAGCCGTTATGGAAAGCAGTATAGAGACTCCTCAGAAAACCAAAAACAGACTTACCATGTGATCCAGCAATCCCACTCCTGGGCATCCCCGGATGGAACCTTAACTCTTCAAAAAGGCACATGCACCCCAATGTTCCTAGCAGCACCATTTACAAAAGCCAAGACATGGAAACAATCTAAATGTCCATCAAATGATGACTGGATAAAGATGCTGTAGTATATTTATACAATGGAATACTACTCAGCGATAAAAAAGAATAAAATAATGCCATTTGCAGCAACATGGATGGACCTACAGATTGTCATTGTAAGTGAAGTAAGCCAGAAAGAGAAAGAAAAATACCTATGATATCACTCATATGTGGAATCTAAAAAAGGAGAAAGGAAAAAAAGGACACTATGAATTCATCTACAAAACAGAAACAGACTCGCAGACATAGTAAACAATCATGGTTACCAGGGGAAAGGGGGTGGGAAGGGATAAATTTGGGAGTTTGAGATTTGGAAATGTAAGCTACTATATATAAAAATAGATATAAATAAATAAAAATACATACATACATACATACATGCATGCATGCATGCATGTCAAAAAAAAAAAGCAGTCTTTCATGAATAATGTAATTTTGCGTTTGAACAATAGAGTGACTTACAGATGAAATACACTGACCAGGGAAAGTAGTATGAACTTCAGAGGCCCCAGGTCCCAATCCACATTTTCCTAAAGGGCCTAAATCAGTAATCTGCATGTAGAAATGATCATCTTAAACCCACTATGTATTTCTTTTTCTTCTTTCTCATACATTTTATAGTTATTCATTCTGCTAAATTCTTTTACCTGTAAATCTAGAGATGTCAACCACTTTTGTAGTACTGGCCATTTGCACTGAAGTGTTTGTTCTTAAACAAGTTGGATTACTCAGCCTCTCAAATAAAAATGTTACCATATCAGCCATAGCACTACGGGCTTTTTCTTGAAAGGTTCTTTAACCCTGAAGGTATTTCCCAAAGAAATTTCCAGATGAGTTCGTTTCTGTTTGAGTCTAATGTATTACAAATTACCTGGAAGTCTGGGGAAAGAAGAGGTATGTTTTGTTTTATTTTAGATTCAACCTAGTAACCAAATAAAGAAAATAAATCACAATTTCCTTATGCCAAAGCTGGTTTATTGAACTTCATGAGGGCAAAGTTACAGTGACACTATTCCACAACAAAATTATTTAACCCTAGTTTAGACTTCATGAGGAAATGTATTAGCAATATACTGCCAATAAAGCACTGCTAGTCATAGCTAACTGGATGAGCTTCCTTTGGTGTTCTCAAATTATGACTTTTCTAAAACATATCTGATGTTTTCAACTAAAGGTCACAGTTAAAATAAGTTCACACAGAAGTTACAAAATGTGTGATTTGTGCTTTAAAATAATTAGTTGTTTGATAGCCACCATTTAGAAGTGATTTCTCAATAGTCAGTGAAGCATTTTATAAATATTTTGGAAAATATCTAAAAGCTTTATCCCCATTCAGCTGTTAAGTATGTTCTTTTTAAAAATAAAAGCATGTAGAAAAAACTAAAACCATAAGTCACTATAAATGGGATACAAATATTTTAAAATTAATAAATATTAAAGTGAAAAAATAAGGCCTTTCACAGAACTGTAAAGGATACTTACTACTAACTTCTTACAAAAAGAAAGTTAAATTACCTTTTTTTAAAAATGATTAATAACAGCACTGAGAAAACATAAATGTGCTTGGAAAGTCTGTAAACTTTCTTCTTCCACTTTAGAAAAATGTTTTGATAAGCAATAAGCAGATTCCCTTCTTTAAAAAACTGTTACACCCATCACAACTGTAACAGCTGTCATTGTTTTACTATAAAAATAGTTATAAATCAACATTAATTTAGATAAAGTCAAACCATTTTTAATTCCAGCATGGTAAGAAAACTGGATTAATCTCCTTAAAATCAAAGCCAATTTGTTTTTCTTTAAGCTTTGATGTTTAAAACAGAACAGTTATTTCCTATAATTATTACTTTCAGTTAGTTCATTTAATAGAATTATCTTGTTCTATAAATTATCCAGTCAGGACCACCATGATGATTAAACAGAAAATTCTACACTAGATTAGATTAGATTAGATCACATATTTAATTAGTTTCCCACATTCTGAAAATATTTTAAATATAATCACCTTTTGGCTTAATTTCCTCTAAAATGATTAAATTCAGCAATCTTTCAGAATTAGTGAATATGCACACTTCAGTTAAAGGTCATGGCTTACATTCCATTCATGTTAATAGCTTCATATGCAAGCTTACTATTTTCCATGTGCAAAGTCCTAAATTCAAAATAAAAGTATTTTTAAAAAAAATTTTTAAGAAGTATTTAGGGTAAAAACTTTATGAAATAGCCTTTCTACCACTGAGGGACAGACTAGATATTTTTCAATATTTAATTTATTTTTCACACCGAGGAGGAGTATCTTGTTACGACCGTAAAATTTAAAGATTTAAACAACCCATGTACTGTAACACAGTACTATTAGAGAAATACATGTAGACACTTAGCAATTAAAGGTATGCCCTCAGTCCAAATGGAAGATGATTTGCTAATTCAGCCTGAAGGCATTACATTGACTGGAGAGTGGGGGAGAGCAAGAGATACTATGTCAGATACACAGCTTGAAATTACTAAAAGCCAGGAATAGGTCTGTTGTGGTAGCTGGAACCACGTTCACCTATTCTCTCCCAAATTACAACTCCTCAAACCTTTCAGTTAGTTTTTCACTGTTTAAAAATACCAAAACAAAGTATAAAGCACCTTATTATGTCATGTCTTTTGCATTAAAATCTGATTTACTTCTGCATATTTTAAAGCACTTAGTAAGAAAACAATTCAAATTACTCTTTTAAAAATAACAATAATTTTTGTAGACCTGATTGATATTGATTAGAGATATATAGCATCTAGAACTGTTGGAAAAGTCATTCTTTATGGACTGAGAACCAGAAAACATTTTACACCTTCTCTTCCCACTGGAACTAAAGTCTTGACTCTAAAATATACCAATTATAATGCAATTACATAAACCAATAACACAAAGAAACAACTTAAGGGAGAGGCAAATATCAGTTTTTATCCTATTGAGAACACTTCTCATTCAAAGGACATACCAACAAATATACTAAACCCTTAATATATTTTTTCAATCCCAGGAACACAGGATTAAACAATTAGTGACTCTTAAAATTCCATCATGTTCTCACGTGAAGCTTCCTTCATTGGGCTCTCAATGGAAAGATGTTCTGATTCATCCTAACTTCATTTCAACCTCACTTGAAAACTTTTTCCTTGTGTTGTCACAGTGACAAACTTGATTAAGTAGGTACAAAACACAAAAATAAGCATGACAATGATAAAAAGTAAAGTGTCAGGACCATCCATTATATTTCAGATTAAATTCTATGACTTTTCACTGTCATACTTCAAAGGTATTTGTCGTCAAAATTAGATAGTATAATAAAGACTGTTATTTAGCACCAGCACGTCATTGCAGGCTTTGGTTCAGGCTTCAGGGTAATTCCGTTATCAGGGGGTTGACTAAGCATTAATGGTTTATGGCTCTTAAGCTTATGAGCCAAGGTCATAAATATAGCTTCCACATGGTCATTATCATTGGGGTTTTTAGCAGAGGTTTCAAACAAAGGCATACTGTGCGTGTCAGCGAATTTCTGTGCCAAGTCTGTGGGTACCTGAATGGCACTTCTCAAGTCACATTTATTTCCAACAAGAATCCGTGGTATATCGTTGGCTAGCAAATGCTGTTTGCATTCTTCTATCCAAGATGGCAGGCTATGAAAACTCGCCATGTTGGTCATATCATACACGAAGACAACAGCATGTACATTTCTGTAGTAGTGCTGTACCATGCTCTTTCTGAATCGTTCTTGTCCCGCCGTGTCCCATAGCTGGATCTGAAAGTAGGGGGAAAAAAAGAGGAAAACTAAAAATTTCATTCCAATTATGCACTGGGGAAAATTTAACCACCTTTGCATGGTCTTTTGTACTTTTTCACTTATACAACTACAACGTCACTCCCTTTCAACATGCCTTTTCAGTGTTATTTACAGGACCCAGATTTCATGATACTAGTCAAGTTACCTCATAGTTAATTCAAGTGTCATAACAAAATACTTCAAGTTAGCACTTTAATTTCAGTAAATCAACTTTGGAAAAAATTATACCTCAAAAATTGATTTTTAAAACACTAAGAGAAATACATACCAGATTTTAACAAACATGTTAAGTGTCTAATTTCTGTAAATTTGGTTACGATATGCCCTTCCCTGCCTTTTACACATCTAATCTAAAATAGTACTTAGGACAGATGTGAAAAGTCATGAGACCTAGCCCCCAAATCAACATATATACACAGCCTATGAAATTCAGGCCCTTTTGAAAATTTTAAATGGCTAGAAAATCACTTATCTATCCTTACCATCTCTACCAATAAAAATATCCCAATACTTCCTAGTGTAAATATAGAGGGACTGGGGAAAATGGTATCTAAAGCTAAATATAAGCCATGTGTTATGATTCTCTTAAAACACTGAATTTATCCTGCCTTTGTTTAGTTCCTAAAAAACAGTTGAATGATGAGGATACTGGTCACGATGGAAAAGACTAGAGGCAGATTTGCTCAGATAACTTTTAACTGAAAGACTTGTACTATTTGTAGATACTCAGATGGAAGCCTAAGCTGGGGATTTCTCACAGAGCAATACTGAAGTAGAGGGAGACGGGATACTGCAGGCGGCCCCGAAAGTAAGGAGGATGTAAGACAGGAAGTGTTGAACACACAGCAGTATATGGCAAGTGCTCAATTAAGATGTAATGGATGAATAAACACAGTTTAAAAAATGTGATTAGATATGGAAATATTGGTCACCACTATCTTTCATGCTACCGTGATTTTCATCAGTTCTGATTTTTTCATCTTTTTCATGGTAGCTCTTTTTAGCCCAAATTTCTCCATTTTCTGAAAAACTCTCCCATTCTTCCTAATTAACATAAATCTAATTTTGTTCCAGGTAGAATTATAAAATACTATACAGACATATCTCGGAGATATTGTGGGTTCAGTTCCAGATCTCTGCAATAAAACAAATGC